AAGGAGAAGAGAAAAAAGACAAACACCATGTGCTATAATGCCCACCTCTTTTTCCCAGCAATGAAGAAGCTAAAACAGGAGAATGGCCATGTATTCAAAGACAGCCTAACCTGCATAGTGAGTGCAAGGCTTCCCAGAACTCCAAAGTGAGACTATGTCTTTAAATCAAAAAACTAAAATGAAAAAAGAAAAAAAAAAGTAGACAGAAAGACTATTGAAAACAAACAAAAATAGAGCTGAGTGAAATTTGTGTTATGTAAAATGGGAATTATTGAATGATGCTGCAGAGGAAAGAAGGCCATGTAGTGGCATCCAGGAGGCAGTGACAAACACAGACTTAGGAATGGCACCTATTGTGCTACAGGACAACAGTGACCTCCTTCCTCCAATACATTTGCAGTTCACTAGACTGAGGACTTCTAAAAGCTCATTGAAATGTTAAACTCAGGGCAAACAAGCAGCTTGAAATTCCGGCTTTGGAACAATGCCTTTAGCAGACTTTCATATTTAAATTGAGATAAGAGAAATATAACCCTGCCCTATTTCATATCAAATGCATCAAGTTTAATGGCTCACAACATTGAGAAATGAAGTCATAAACCAAAAGAATTTCAAAAATTTTCTTAGAAAAAAAGAGAAAAAAATTGACTTGAAATATCAGAAGTGGTCTTTGGTGTATTGGCCATAGACCTATTGTCAGGCGTCGTTTATACAGGAAAGTCATAATGTGGGTACATTGTGGGTCTCAGACTACAATCAACCTGTAAGCTTATAGCTGCTTAACTAATATTATCCAACAGGGGAACAAGTCAGCCAGAAAAGGTACATGGAAAGAGCCAAGGCATTTTGTGGGAACAATAGTCCAATTGTTCTGGTCATTGAGTATGGTAATTGATCCCTATCAGGGCTTCCTGGAGGGGTTGGTGGTAACTGTAGTACATTTCCAGTTGTTGTTTTTCTCTTCAGGAGCATGTACACCTAGTCACTGCATCTTCACCTTCAGGTCTGGCTTTCTTCAGCTGTGCCTGTAGCAGTGATTGTTGTAGTTAGTTTTTTGTATTGAATATTTGAGGTTCCAGTTCCTCTCTGATTGTATATCAATTTCTGTGTACCTTGACGTCCTTTGCTAAAATCACAGTTCTATTTGAATGAATAAAGTGAAATACTCACTAATACAGGCGAGGGAGTTACCTCAGGAGGCAGAAGGGCCTGCCTGGAAAGTGCTAGGTTATAGATTTGATCCCTTGTACCTAAAAAAAAAATTTTAAGCTGTAAGGAAAGAAAATAATTTCATTTGTGAAAATGTAGGTTTACAAAATGTATAACTAAATATGTCAATGGCAAATTAAACATTGTTAATAGTCATATTTAGTATCTAAAGTTGTTGGGTCTGGGGATTGAGCTCAGGGATACAAGGAGCTGTCTGGAGAGCCCCAGGTCATGAATTCAATCCCTCATACAGAAAAAAAAATCACAGTTGTCAACCACGCAGTGCTATGAGCACATTTATTAAAATGGATACTTGGTATTTAATAGGCTCAATGTTTCTTTTGTGTTCTATGAAATACCTGCAGAAAACATGGCAACTACAGTGAATGATATACTGTCACTTATAGGATTGCTATTTTCTGAGTTGTTTTTATTTTTTGTTTTTCCACGTACTTGAAAGTTGAAAATGTTGGCTGTTGCTAGGTAGAAAAACTGTGATAATCATTTTTTTCAATATAATGATATATTTCCCTATATTTATTAAGTGATAGAGTTATTTCCAAAAGATGAAAAATATTAACAAAAGATGAGAAATATAAAATAAAAAGCGGCCTTTATTCTGAGAACACGGAGAGAGATGACCGGCAACCCCCACCGCTGGCGTCCGGCGATCTCTCCGGCGGACACGCGGCGTGGGGGCCTGTAAATAACCTCGGTTTGGGGTGGAACCTAAGGCGGGCATTAGGGATACACAGGTAGCCCATTGGTCCTAGGTTTGGCGCCATATGTAAATTCCCAGGGGCGGGAAGATGGCGTCACAGGTAACTTCCTAGGGGCAGGGCAAAATGGGGCTTCCTGCTTCCAGTTGTGGCTTTCCTGGCTACAGTGTCCTGTCTGGGCCAAACCTTTCATATCCCGTCTTATGGTTATTATGAAAAGGGGCGAAGATTTCTCTCTTTAACTACTTCCTGCTGGCAAAGGGCGCTGTACTGGAGCCTAGGGGAGTCGACGGGATGAAGGTTGATGCCCAGGTAGACTGCTGGTGCCAGGTGTTTCGGCCAGGACAACTTCACTGGTGAATGCACGTATGTCAGACTGGAAAAACAAAGAGACAAGATGTTATGAGGAGACATGGCACTGTCATATTTAAGGACCCAGGTGAGGTAAAGGGAAAGGTGCCTTTGATTTAGACATATCATTCTATCAGGACCATGTTGAGGTAGAAACATTTCCACGGTGAGGCAGAATTCTGAAAATTAAACGTGGGGTTAGGAGGAGTGGAGTTATGAGAGGTGATTACTCCCCCATCTGAAAACATAAAAGTTAAGATGGTAGGTTGGTGAGGCTTGTCTCTGGTATGCATGATGTTGGAGTCTGTAGGCAATACTGCTAAAGAGTCCTGCTGTAAAAATGATCATTAATAGAATGTAAGAAATTAGGAACCAAAGTGGATAACAAAACATGACTTAGCCTGTTAACTGTGGCTGCGAGGCCTTTGTGAGACGGAGACAGGTAGGCGACAGGAGATGAGATGACCACTCAGAATGATCAGATTTAGGGCTGGAAGGGCACCTCTTAGCCTGAGTGATGTGAAACCAGGATGGCAGTCTAGCAACTTTGATTTAGACATGGGTCGCTGCAACCTGGTTGTTGTCCTTGGAATGATTTGCTGTAACAGAACTTTAGCAAGTATGAGAAAGGCTCTTGGGCTACCTGTGTATCCCTAATGCCCGCCTTAGGTTCCACCCCAAACCGAGGTTATTTACAGGCCCCCACGCCGCGTGTCCGCCGGAGAGATCGCCGGACGCCAGCGGTGGGGGTTGCCGGTCATCTCTCTCCGTGTTCTCAGAATAAAGGCCGCTTTTTATTTTATATTTCTCATCTTTTGTTAATATTTTTCATCTTTTGGAAATAACTCTATCATTTGGTGCCGTGACTCTATTAGCAGGCAACTCACTGTTGGGCCACATACCCAAAGTCTTCTAGCCGATAGCCAGATAACATCCTGGATTAATCCCGAGCTTTTTCCTCTCCCGAGACGTTCCTGTCGCCAGCCGCCTGCACTCTGCATCGGCCAGACTGATTTCAGGTGAGCACTCCCCGGGGAACTTTTCGCACTGGGCAGCCCCAGTGGAATGTTCTCCCCGTCTGCGTGGGTCTGTGCATTTTCACGTCCTTAGGACCGCCCAGGGCAGGGTTCTTTCTGGGCAAACCTGCGCCCACGAAATCTCTCACGTTCTTTGGGTTCGGATAGCCCAAAGCAGAGATTTTTGGGACCGCCCACACTGAAAGACCCTCACTTCCCTTAAAGCCTTGCGCTTTCACGGGCAAAAGTGTTACTGACCCCACGTAGACTCCATTCCTAAATCTCAGTGACGACTGGAGTTTACGGTTTGGAACCGTTCCGCCGCGTGGTACCACAAATAAGTGACGACTTTTTTCTGGACCTCCGGTTTTTTTCTTGCCTGAATCAGTCATGGGGAACGTATTTTCTAACTCCCAAAAGACGCCTTTAAAATGCCTAATTTCCAATTTACGTACTCTAAAAATTAAAGGCACCATAAAAACTAAACAACTAACTTTTTACTGCCAGGAGGTCTGGCCAACCTACCCACTTATCGGCAAGCCTTGGCCTCAGCAAGGAACATTTGACCCCTGCATTCTCAGGAACTTGTATGATTTTTGTCAAGCTGGCAACAAGTTATTAGAACTCCCTTATGTCCAAGCCTTTCTTATTCTGAGAACACGCCCATCTCTCATTAAGTCTTGTGCTCCCGCTGAAATACTTTTAGCTAAGTCTACTGCACCGCAAACTTTTCCGTCCTGCTCTCTGTTGTTTTCCCAGCCGCCGCCTGCCTACCACCAAACTCGTTCCCTGCCGTTCTCTCCCGCCGGACCGCTCTCTCCTCCCCCTATGCCTGATTCTCTCAGCAGCTCTAATCCCTCTCTGTTGCAGAAACCTCCTGCTGTGCGATCGTCTCCCTCTCTGCCTTCCAGGACCCATAATTCTCCCAGCAGCTCTAATCCCTCTGTGTCGCAGTTATCTCCCGATGTTCCATCCTCTCCCCCGCCTTCTCCTGGGACCCATAACTCTCCCAGTGGCTCTGATCCCTCTGTTAGTGCTTCCTCTCAGTCTCCGACTTCTCCTGAGAATTCTCTATCCCCTACAGCATTCTCACCACCTGCCCACCATACTAGGTCTCGGTCGCTATGTCCTTCCAGCAGGTCGCGTGATTGTTCCAGCTTGCACGGGGAACAGTCGCCATGTTGCAACCCTCTGCCACATGGCATGGCGCCGCCATGTTCCAGAGGGCCACATGGCGACAGGGCGCCGCCATGTTTCGGGTCACATGACAGGGCGCCGCCATGTTCCCAGGCGCCGCCATGTTTTGGGTCACGTGACAGGGCGCCGCCATGTTTCCAGGGCCCTCACTGTCAACAGGCGTCTCCTTGTGGCTCCTCTTGTGAACTACAACAGCCGCCCTGTTGCAGTGCACATGACGCTTCATTGTGCTGCCGACAGCAGTCCTCTAGCTGGGAGACACACAGTGAGACGCCATCTGCTCGTGTTTCCCAGGGTGACCGGCAGCAGCTCTGTAGCTGCTCTACAGATGATTGCTCACATGCGCCTACTGGAAGGATGGCTGCTCAGTGGCCCTCTGCTCCAGAACCTCCTCAGGCTCTGCTACCACTTCAGGAGCAAGCTGGCCCCGAGAAACTTGTTAACATCCATGTGCCTTTTTCCCTTTCTGATCTATCCCAGATTACCCTTAAATTAGGTAGCCTCTCTGTTAACCCACAAAATTATATCCAGCAATTTAAATTTATTACTAATTGTTATGATTTACATTTTAAGGATGTTTATGTGATTCTAGATACCTCTCTCATCTCACAAGAACGGAATCAGCTGTGGCAAGCAGTTCGAGAAAAAGCTGATCACAGACATGAGGTAAACACCGCTGATAATGACTCTAGGCCTATAGCTGTGCCAGAGCAGGACAAGCATACTAACTATAACAAACTTTTAAAACAGGTCCAGGAAGCTATTCAAAACCCAGCTGTGTTCCTAAATTGGCTTTCTAATCCTCGTGCCCTGCAAGCAGTTCCAGCTTCGCGCGCTGTGTCGGGCCGCCTCCCAGCCCCTCCCCCATGTGCCGTCCAAGCCCCTCCCTCCCCCATGCGCCATCGTCGCCGCTGCCACCTTACACGTTTCCGGGGGCAGTCCGAGCCCGCCCCTGCGCGCTACATCCCAGCGCTTGCCCCACCCACTGGGCGTGCTCTGCCAGAGCGCCGCGAAACAGCAGCTCAGCGGCTCTGCTCAGGCATGCTTTTTTTACAATTTGGCTCCACTCAAAAGATGCTTTTTTATTACAGTTCTCAAACCATTTAATCAAGGTTATTGGCCACCTGATAATTTTACCAGCCTTGTTTATCAATCAAAGCCTTCACCAATCTCCTGTTTAACAACTAAGGTTATAAATTCCTTTTTGCTGGGAACCACTAGCTCTATTTCAAGACAAGGGTTTGCTTCAAAGTTTTATTTTGTTTGTCTTGGTTCATACTACTGCAAATAACAACTTTAAAAGTAAATGTGTTCAGAATTTGACAGTATTAGATCAGTTTTGATAGATGTATTCATAAGATTGCTAAACCTTTACTGCAAAATGTTTCCATTAAAGCCTTGTTTGGCAGACTAAAGCTTTTTTGGTTAATTCTACGTGGCACCCTATAAAAAAAAAAGCGATATGCCATCCAGATAAAGCCTGCTGTCTAATGTAAAATGCCAATTAAATTCCTGCATACTTACTTAATTCTACTATAGTCCAAATCCCAAACAAAAAGGCAAAACTTGACCTTCAAACCTTAGAGAGATCTTAATATGGTTTTTCATATTTTTAACACTTGTGACACTTGGAGTTCTGAGACAGGTAAACCTACACAAGGTGGAGCTGCCTGCCCCCTCCATGGACCACGCTCAAATGCAGCAGAAGATACTGGACAAGAAAATGCCCCATCCTGGCATTCTTTGAGACCTTACTCCAGGGCCGCTGGACTGTCCTAGCCACCAGAGAGTGGGTAAGCCATCCTAAGTTCTAGCCCTCACAGGAAATGTCGACACTGCCAGATTCGTCACCGACAGAAAATCGCTGCTGGAGGCTGAGGGGGTTCAGGGCAACAACAGCCCCCTTTAAGGTGTCCGTCTCAGATTCCAAGTCGTACTAAAGTCTCAGGTAAGACATTCTCTATATTTGTGGACATAGAGGCCATATATACAGAGTTCTTCCTGAGTATTCAGGCTGCTATATTAAGTCCTCAATCTCTATGATGGGGTATTGATGGTCAACCTATGCCATTTACAAACAGGGCCTATTTTGTGCAGGTCCCAGTCTTCTCACTTGGTTTATACTTTTTCAGGATGCATAAGAGCCTTTCTCATACTTGCTAAAGTTCTGTTACAGCAAATCATTCCAAGGACAACAACCAGGTTGCAGCGACCCATGTCTAAATCAAAGTTGCTAGACTGCCATCCTGGTTTCACATCACTCAGGCTAAGAGGTGCCCTTCCAGCCCTAAATCTGATCATTCTGAGTGGTCATCTCATCTCCTGTCGCCTACCTGTCTCCGTCTCACAAAGGCCTCGCAGCCACAGTTAACAGGCTAAGTCATGTTTTGTTATCCACTTTGGTTCCTAATTTCTTACATTCTATTAATGATCATTTTTACAGCAGGACTCTTTAGCAGTATTGCCTACAGACTCCAACATCATGCATACCAGAGACAAGCCTCACCAACCTACCATCTTAACTTTTATGTTTTCAGATGGGGGAGTAATCACCTCTCATAACTCCACTCCTCCTAACCCCACGTTTAATTTTCAGAATTCTGCCTCACCGTGGAAATGTTTCTACCTCAACATGGTCCTGATAGAATGATATGTCTAAATCAAAGGCACCTTTCCCTTTACCTCACCTGGGTCCTTAAATATGACAGTGCCATGTCTCCTCATAACATCTTGTCTCTTTGTTTTTCCAGTCTGACATACGTGCATTCACCAGTGAAGTTGTCCTGGCCAAAACACCTGGCACCAGCAGTCTACCTGGGCATCAACCTTCATCCCGTCGACTCCCCTAGGCTCTAGTACAGCACCCTTTGCCAGCAGGAAGTAGTTAAAGAGAGAAATCTTCGCCCCTTTTCATAATAACCATAAGACGGGATATGAAAGGTTTGGCCCAGACAGGACACTGTAGCCAGGAAAGCCACAACTGGAAGCAGGAAGCCCCATTTTGCCCTGCCCCTAGGAAGTTACCTGTGACGCCATCTTCCCGCCCCTGGGAATTTACATATGGCGCCAAACCTAGGACCAATGGGCTACCTGTGTATCCCTAATGCCCGCCTTAGGTTCCACCCCAAACCGAGGTTATTTACAGGCCCCCATGCCGCGTGTCCGCCGGAGAGATCGCCGGACGCCAGCGGTGGGGGTTGCCGGTCATCTCTCTCCGTGTTCTCAGAATAAAGGCCGCTTTTTATTTTATATTTCTCATCTTTTGTTAATATTTTTCATCTTTTGGAAATAACTCTATCATTAAGAACATTTTATTTGCTACAGTTACTCCAAGTCAAATTGATAAACAATTGTTAAATTTACACGCAGCTGAGTTTGTTAGAAATAGAGGCAACCATACCATGATATAGTGGAATGAAATTCCTGACCTTCTATGTCTGGTATGAGTTTGTGTTGTCTAAAATGCAAGAATAAATTTTTGGAACAACAGAGTTGAAAGGCAGAATATATTTATTGAGAGAAAGAAAGTGAAATTATTTTGTTCTAAATAGCATATATTGGAAGTGGGAGGTGGAACCAGGAGACTTTTACCTTGAAGTCACTTTCCTCTCCCCTATTCAACCTACCTGTGGCCAGAAAAGAATCTCAATCAGGTACTTGCATATCAGCAATGGCACCTTTAAGCAGCACCCAAGTCAAAAACTATATGTATGCCGCCCACACATTTCCAGAAAAAATAGCCAGACCCCCAGTGGTCATGGGGTTCTCTCCATGGTCTTAGAATAAAGGCCATTTTGACTTTATATTCTGTTCTTTACTACACCAAAAAATCCTATCAGAAAGCTTCTGTCTGAGAGAAACAGGAGGGATTCTGAGCCAGTAGCAAAGGACTCTGATTTTATAGAATAAAATCATATAGTGAGGGTGATAGCTCGGATGCCAGCATAAAATCCAAGGAAGCAAGAAATTAAAATTTGGGGAGCAAAGACATTATTTTAGGCCAGGCCAGGTGATGCAATCTCAGGGAGCCAATTTGGAGACTGTGCCTTACAGCTAAAAAGGTTGGGTTTTAAAGCTGAAAACCACAGGAATGTTGCAAACTTTGACCCAGTTTGATGACTTTCTAGTAGTTAAACATTTCTTAGGGACAGTACATTGTATTGCAGGTAGGCTGAAGGGGGTTGGGATTACAAGAAACTGAAACTTAAAGCTTTTATGGGAAATGGAGACTTAACCTAAGAATGGGGAGGGGAATTTACAAGGAGCTGAAACTTAAGTGTTTACTGGAGATGGAATTTTAATCTCTATTGAAATGACACATATAGAACAGGAAGGGGGCACATGGGTTAGAACTAGGTTACAACAGTGAGATAGGTTTAAAGTGGGTTAGATTACTGTGGTTACTGAGGAGGTAAATTAGCACAATAGAGAAGCAGAATATAAGAAATGTAAAAGTGGCCTTTTATTTAAAGAATGTGGAGAGGAGCCCACAGCCACCAAGGGTTTGGCTCCCCTCCCCCTGGACTAACTATGTGGTTTTGTGGTTGTGATAACTCAGATCCCGGAATAAAATCCAAGGAAGCAAAAAATTAAAATTTAGGGAGCAAAGGTTTTTTTTTTTTTTAGGCCAGACCAGGCAAGGAGTCCCCAGGGGAAACTGGGCACCTGACAGAAAAAAGTCAGGGATTTTATCTTGTACATCCACAAACAGCTGCTGGTCACACAATGCAAGGAGGAGTTTGGGTGTGGCACACTACAAAACAGAAACATGGTGCATTATATTTCATGGGAAGAGCAAGATTCAGGTAACAAGCAAGTTTTCCTATAAACAAGCAAGTTTAGAAAGCCTGTTTTCCTCAGCAGAGACTAGAAGTCTAGCAGTGATTAACAACTTCTGTTAACTTATCTTAGCATCACATGTGTTATTTGTAGAGGGCAACAATGGTTAACATATCAATTAGGTAAGATTTTACAATTCTTACAGAGGAGAGCATTGATTAACATATTAATTAGGTCATCCAGAGGGGGAAGGGAAAAACACATATACAGTAAGGCTAAGTTACAGGTGTTGCTATGATACAAAAATAATGAAGCTATTTTTCTAGACTACAACAGAGGTATATATGACTTTTGAGTGGATGTGGTGCTTGGAGGGGACATTGATGTCATGCAAGGAGCTGATGGGAATTTTCTTTGAGGCCCTGGGAAAGAAAGAGGAAGTTGTAATCAAGGAAAAAAGAGGAAGTGGCCATATGAGTAAGCATCCCTGATCTTGACTTCTTCCACCTTCAACTACCACCATGAGGTTCTGTAATTGTTTCTAGGGCAAAACTCTTTCAAGCACATCCTTCAGTTTCCAGGAAGAAATAAAAACAACAAATTTTTGCCACCTGTCTTCCTCTATGGCTGGTAGTAAACCATTCATAAGAAATACTGTTAGTCATTTCCTTAATGCATTGTAGATACCATCACCAAAATTACAGATCATTTCACTTTCAGAAAACAAAAGTAGCACTTAAAGTCAAGGATAAAGCCCTTCAGTGCAAGCATCTCTGGAAAGGTGAGATCAACATTGTAGAATACAAACTGCTCCTGGTTTATCTGACTTCAGGAAAGAGAAAACTTTATAATGATATTGCTATAGAGTAATGAATCTCCTGGTCTAATATGTCTGGTATGAGTTTGTGTTCTCTAAAGTCAAAGAATGAATTTTAGGAACAACAGAAATTTAGAGCACAATATACTTATTGAGAGAAAGAAAGCTACCTGAGAGAGAGAAGGGGTCCTGAGTGGGATGCCAAATACTGTCTTTCTAGGGAACTTTATAGAGTAAAATCATGTGGTGAGATGAGTTTAAGGTGGGGAAAAATCGGAACTCACAATGCAGATGGGCATAAGACAGGACAGAGCTATGGTAGCCAATAACATTATAAGTTCATGTAAAGTTGATTAAATTGGGAACAAAGGGGGAAGGGAGTCACATAGAAAGCAGGCATTCTTAGGCAGCAGTGACTTTCCCTTAGGATTTTAGGAGGGTGACTCCTGAGTTCATCAGGATGATAAGAAATATTTAAAATGTCAGTCCTTAGGATAAGCATACTTTTCTTTGAATGGTGACTCCTGACCTCCTCAGAGTGCTATGGGACTATTTAGAATATCAGTCTTTAGGATATGGATGAATTTTCTTATCATTTGTCTTGAGACTTGGCCCATAGCATGAGGTGTCAGTCTTCCCCATAGTTGCAAGGTATCTCGTCTCCTTCATGGACTCCTTGGAGGACCTAGCCCTACCTTATGCCAATACTGTTTAAATAACTCAGGTGCCTGTAACAGTACTGTTTGGATAATTGATTACAGATGTCTTGTGCTCTGGGTGAATGATCTGGGGATTACAGTGTGCAATGTATATAGCAGTGTTGCCCCCTGATTGACATGTTTTGAAATTTAATTTTAGTTGATGTGTTCTTTTTTCAGTGAAATAAAATGGATTTTAAAATTAAAAGCCTTGGTTCTTCAGTACAAACACTCCTCTGGTCATCCACTGAGATCACCACTGTAGAAGAAAGGCAGCTCTAAAAGTCTCTGCACTACAGTCTATCATTTGAGATCCTCTCTTGCAGGGAGGGGTTTCTTTCCCTGTTGATTCTTGACTCAGAAGGAGAGCCGTAGAGCAGGAGTAATCAGAGATGAAGGGGCAGGCTATATGAACTGTCCAATTTTCAGGCCATTGCTGGCTGTGACTTTTGTCACTTCTGGTGTCTCAGCATGATGTTCTGAGTAGGATACTGGTAGTAAAATGCTTGCGGCATCTCATTTAGTACTTTTGATGTCTTGTGGCCTGATTAACAAAGAACCTGAGAGATCCTGGAGCCATGGAATTGTCAGGTTGTGGATGGAAGCCCAGAGATAGGGTGGATTCGGTGAAACCAGTTACAAGTACTTAGGAGTAGTTGTGGTGTCTGGAGCCTCAGGGATTTAGTTAGCCTCATCTCCTGAGGTCCTCCAGCATTGGCCATGGGTCATTCACTGTCCCTTTTGCCTCTTGCTGTTGGCAAGGGTGATTTGGGGTCCCCAGAACCCTGGCTTCACTATGACAACAGCAGACTCAAGTATCATCTTTGAAATTCACTGCTGGCCTGGTAACTCCACCATTTTAGGCATTGGAAGGAGCTTGGGAAGACCCTGACTATGATGATTTTTGTAGCTTGTAGAGCAGTAATGAGCTAGGCCTCTGCTCTCTTTCCTCAGAGTAGCAGATCTGGAATGTCCAAAGTTTATTAATGTCTGTAATGCAGGGCCTCATAGCCACAATGGCTCAATTTAAACTTGGGCTTTTTTGTATTTATAGTGATCTCCTCTATTTATAGTATGTTCTCATATTTCCATCCTCATGACAGGGAGTGGCAAATTCAGAGATGTGTAGTAGTGTGCCTCAGTGGAAAAAGGCTTCCCAAACAACTGGTGAACTCCGGTGTATTATACAGATCAATGCAAAATAATTTCTGAACATACTTAATTATTTAGGTGACACCCTTACTCACAGACTAGGTTTGTGAGAACAGCCATAGAGTTTTGAAGTCTGAGAAAAATAAAGCAAATATGAAAGTGTTATCAAGGACAGGGTAAAATTTTGTGAAGGAAAAATTCCAGAATGGGGTATCTGTTAAATTCTCATCGAAAAATGCTGAAATTTAGGCATTTACATGGACATGTACATGTGATATCCTTCTGAATGGAAAGGAATATGTGTGTCATCTCAGAATTAAAAGCTGATTTAGTGGCTTGGTTGTTCATAGACAGTTTAAATATGGAAATGCTCTGCAAT